GCAGACCGCTCTTTTGAAATCCTAAAGTCGCCGTTCGGTGAGCGGTCATGGTGTGTCGGCCAGCACCAGGTTGGCTCTAGCGTTCACCGACTCGGCGACCCGACGACTCGGCCTTGGCTACCGACCTGGCCTTCCTTGCCATCCACGCTACTCTCCCTGCATGTATGCACAATGGTGACACAAGCGAGACTGCAGAGCAAGGACGGCTTGTCGCACGTGTCTCGGGAGTCACAACGTTGATCTTGATGCAAATCCTCGACATTACGGTCTGCGTGTCTATGTAAATCGCCATTTATGCTTCCTGGCCCTGTGCCACAACATGTCTGTGAGAGAGTGGAACGCACGAGGCACAACACCGCTTCCGCCGTGTGCGTTGCAAGAATCGGGGCCACGAAAAGGCGGACAGCTGTCTCCGCAAAGCCACATGCACAAGCGAGGGGGGACAGAGATAGCTGGCCAGTGAGGAAGCACACGGCGAACCGATGCAGCGGCACTAATCAAATATCCACCAGAGCCACTCAATTGGCCTACTCCCGCATTGTAGAATGGGCACCTGCATCACATACGAAATATATACGGCATAGTAGAGCGCCATCTTCGTCATCGGTTTCTTCACTGCTTACCGGGGCGCCACTCGGGAAGGCTATTAGTCCGTAGGTGTTGGGGCTGAGAAGGTGGTTACGCCGAGAAGCACTAGATTAGGCATAGAGTGTGAGACAGACGCTAGCTCGAGGAGGGGGTCCATTATGCGGACTTGCATAGTCCTTGCTGGTCGGACAACTCGAATGTAGCGGTAAAAGTGCTCTAAGATCTCGGAGTGTGGATGCAGGATCTTCCAACTCGCCTGACCAGTCGCCTCATTTTACTTCAGGAAGTTCTTTTCGGGTTGAGGGCTCCAGCAGCACACCAGGGGCACCGAGTTGGAATTGATGAGAAGTACTGAGTAAAGAGAAAGAAAGAGATTCCGGGGCCAAGGCATGCCACCTGCCTGTCAGATCCTTCTCGGCTAGCGTAACCACCCGGATGATCACCACAGGGATGACTAGGTAACCTTGCTAAACTCCAGTCTAGTCTTCGCAGCATATTTCGAATGAGACTATAGCACTCAGTAGTAGGGAGAACGCAAACGTAGTAACGTTAGTGAGGAGATGGTATCTATAGAAGGGGAGATTGAGTACTGGTGCCGCACCCAATTATACATTGATGAATAACTACAAGTTCCTCCTCTATCCCCAATATGGGTATTTATAAAGCCCCCTTTTGGCAACCCTCAGGAGGATGAGGTAAGCCCGCCTAGGGTGTCCAGCACCCGACAGTCGATTGAATGGTCTTTGAAGCAGGATACTTCTTCGCAGATGTTGGGCCAGGCATCGAGGTCCACCTCCAGCGACGTCACCACAGGGCCACCATTGGCATCAGGCACGCTCCTCATGTACTGGCCGTAGAGGACACCACGATCCAAGTCCCACTCGCCCCCAATCCAGGTCCATCTATTTTCGGCCGACACAAAGCCGTTGGCGTCCCTCCCCCGCTCTTCCAGCAGTACGGCCCCCAGCTGCGCTGTCACCTCGGCACAGGCGTCCCACGCGCCCTCGCGCCACGGCATGCGCCGCACCACTTCGAGCGCCCGCATGCGTATGTCGTGATTCCGACACTTGGCGATCGCCGGCCCCAGCATCGAGAGTCCGCCCATGCTGAGGGTGAAGCCCGCGTGGTAGCCCGTCATGTCTTCGACGGCAAACGCGAGGCAACGCTCTACGAGGACGAGGAACTCATTGTCGTATTCATCCCACATCATGTCGGTACGATCGTGGCAGCACTCCAGACAAATCTGGATCATGAGGAAGTGTAGCTGCATCATCTGTAGGCTGCGCTTCGCACGCTTGTCGCCGGACGTGGTCGCGCGCGCTAGGTTTATCTCCAGGACGGGCCACCATCGCTCTAATTCTGTGCGATATGCCTGCTGCTCGCGGATAGCGGCTTTGTCTATGGGAAGGTTTTGCAGCTGTTCCATGAAGGACTGCCCGGTAAACGCAGCTGCGCGAGTGAAGAATTTATTCCACATCGATTGGATCTGGCTGAAGCTCCGGCAGGATGTGTCTGGGACGTCACTGCTAGCAGAACTCTCCCAGAGGACGAGGTTGTTCTTCTGAGATCGCAGAAAAGGTGTATAGCCGCCCATGATGGAAAGGTATGGTAGAATAGTTTCGATGTCCTCCATGTCGTCTTCGGGCCGAGCCGGCGTGGCAGCATCCTGTGGAGGCGTACCGTGACGGTACAGTTCGAGAGAATCTTTCAACAATGCGACCCCGGTCGTCAGCAGGCCGTCCACGGCTTCCATGTTACACTGCAGCAGCTCAAAGGTGATGAGCAGCAGCGTCATAATAAGGGTAGATCTTGGCGACGCGATGTTGACCTCAGCATCGATACGTTCCCTGAAAAGCGCCAGCGCCTTGACGTAGTAGCGCAGGGCGGTTCGGTGCTGTCCATTGGCAACATTCGCGGCGCTCCACGGAGCGAAGGCGGTGGGCTTTTTCGCTACCGTACCCGAACCACTTGGGGGCCCTTGGTGAGGTACCTGTGACAGGGATTGCGAGAGGGCGCCGATGGCGAGCACCGCCTGGCGGACGCAGTCGTTGGTTATGGATTCGCATAGGACGATGCGGGACCAGAAGTCGGAGAAGAAGTAGCCGGACAGGTCGTCCGAGAGCTGGTGGCAGAAGAGATCGAAATACGGTACGTCGGACCGCGCAAACGACACGGCGGCAGGGTTGGGGCGTAGACGGGGCCGCGCGAGTATGAGGCCAGTTGTAGCCCTGCGCAAAAAGGCTTGTGAATTTGCTGGTTTGCGGGGGGCCGGAGGCCGAGCGGCGGGAGGCTTGTCGTAACCGTCACAAGTAATTCCGGCCTTCTTGCACCGTTGGCAGATCGGCTTGGCCTCATCACACTTGACCCTTCGCGTCTTGCAGGTGCTGCAACCAGTACGGACCTTGGGCTTGCTCGCACGAGTGCGTTTCGGGAAGACGGGTGGCAGGGACCGGTGTGGCATCTCGACCAACCCCGTCAGGTTTGGGAGTATGGGTTTCAGCGCCATGGCCGCCAAGTGTGCTTTGCGCCCTAGGTTTTTGGCTATACACCGGAGTCTGCTAGCTGTTGGACCCCGATCTCTGCAGAGGTTGAGAGCAAGCAGGAACCTCTCGTTGGAAGGGCTCGGGAACGACGCCTCATATCGCTGGATTTGATACGAGCATAAAGGCGCTCATGCGTCATTGGCTGCGTCGTAAAAGGAAAGCCGCGTGTTGATTGGGCCAATTTGCTGACAATAAGGTGGGGTTCTTACTAAGAAAGAGTGCCATAGCGCCGGCGTGAGCCGCTCCCGAGATGCAAAAGCCGCAAGCCGAGACGACATATCGCTAGAGAATCCAGATATTGCCCTGTAAGTATACCTGGCTCAGTCGGGTCCCAGCGGTTTGGTTGGCTCACAGCGGCCTAGTCGGCTTCCGGTTATCTTAGTCAGATGCCGCCATAGTGCGAGCTCAGCGGGCTGACAAGATAATCAGTATCGATCAGGATAGAGATACAATACTACCCCTGTTTGTTCGCTTGTTTGCGTGGGAAATAAAAGGCCACTTTCTTCACAGCTACTATCATAGGCCATAAGAAAGTGGTTGGCCTAGATACAGAGAGCTTACAGGGTCAACAGGAAGCCGAAAGGGCCAGCAGAGAGCGGGTTTTTTTTTATGAAAAAGGGAACAGCATGCCTCCAGACCGTTTACTGGCTTCCAAGCCCTCAGAACTGGCTGGACCATAACTTTTACCAAAGTAACAAACATACAGGGGGTGCATTATAGGAGAGGCGAGAGGCGAGTGAATAGGTGTTGGCAGAGTGTAGGGTTGTTAGTAGGGGTTGGGCCAATCTGCTAGTACATTAACGCCTACTGCAACCCACGATTAGCTTGTTTCAGATTCAAATAATGCAGGCATGATGTGCAACGTATTGTGATGACAAGTAATCTGAGTTACGCTTTTTTTCTCGGTTAGCAAAACTTGTTCGACAACCTCGCACAACGGATGCCATACCTGGCATCTAAAGCGCAAGTAATGAATCAGGCAAATCGCGCGGCAACTGCTGATACATCATTGTTCTTTATACAACGCGACGCGTTCGTCCTAGTCCATACTACAAGGCTTGACTTGGCTGACATCAACTACTGAATGCGTGTTGGCACATGCGACGCCTAGAATGAACAATTGGTTCGAGACCATGTGATAGAGTCAGTCCCAATCCGTCGAACTGTGGGTATCTTGCCATGAGAGCCGTTCTTATTGCTGTAATACTCTCTTCCTCTGCCGTCAAAGTGCAAGGGGTTGTGAAAGAAGGGTGGGTTTCGGGTCTGCCACTGCGAATAACTCGCCCCGGGAATAGCAACATGCATTGATTGAGGCTAAGCCAAATGAAACGTCTATCTTGGGGTTGAGAAGTTCCCGATATGCCCGTGAAAACTACCTTGACATAAAAATCCAGACCCATCTTGCCCTAAAACTAGCATTTTACCAACTGTAGTTTGCTGGTTCTATCCCATGTTTGGGGGCTCACATTAGTCATCAGCTGAAACTAGAGCACAGTCAGGTCCGCGTGGAGCTTAAGCAAGCTTCCATCAAATGGATCCCCGCACCACCCAACCTAGTTCTGTGGAGAATGGGATACTTCTACGATTCAACCTTCAACCGTTTCGCTTGGTGATGAAGCATCTGAGCTAAACTGGGAAAGAACAGGAGCGAAACGGCGGGGGAAATCAAGCGCGTGTATGTCCGGACATCAGGGCAGCCTCAGGCTGTTCGCGTGGTAAGACCCCACTGTAGCTTGTGTACCCAGCTACCTAACCCGTGGAGCCCTGCCAGCCTAGCTCACTGGGACCCGGGTCATATCCGTAAATCTCCGAAAGATTGGCCAGAAAACGTTTAAGAGGTAAACTAAGGCGCAGAGTTCCAACAAATCCGGCCTGCTGGCGCAATGGTAGCGCGTTACTTTCCGGTGGTAAAGGTTGCGCGTTCGAGTCGCGCGTGGGTCGATTTTTTTTTCTTTTCTTTTTCCTTCCAGATTTGCAGGATATTTTAGTTTCCTTTTGCTTTGTTTCTATCCCATTCACCATCTGGATGTATAAGATCGTGTTGTTGACATCTTTGACGCTAGCCTTCCCCCTTTTAGATACTAACCTGTCCCACCCAACTGAAAGCCACCACAGAATAACGACATATATGCCTTAAGGGAATTGCTTCGTCATTTCAAGATATTAAATCTGGGTTTCCTTCAACACCTTGGCTTTCTAGCCTGGGGTTTAAATTCGAAAAGCTCCGAAGTCTTGAATCGCATCGGCGGGCTCTAGAAGAAATCTTGGTTGTAACCTTCGCAAGGCGTAGTTTATTTTAGACATGCCATCAACAACTTTTATTCATATTTTTGAGGCAGCCGGGACTTGCCCGACAAACTTTACAGTGGCTGGTCATATTCCAAGCCGGGCAAACATCATAGGTCACGTTGTTTCACCGAGAACCGCGTGAGACTAGTGATTAAAGTCAAAAGAAGACAAACAGTCTCGCAGCAAAAATAAGGAAGAGAAGTCGAGAAGGGATAAAAAAAAAAGACATACAACACCAGGTATTCGCTGGTCGTCACCGACCCAACTACTGATCTAGCTCTCGCTGGCTTGACTAAGGGAGAGCGGACGGGATCCCGTATTTTCCAGTGGATATGGCCGTATGTAAAAGGAGAGCCTAAAACTTTGTTTCTATAATTGAGTGTGGTGTGCATGCGTAAGCGACCTAGATTTAACCCTGGCTCGTAATGGTGTTGAGCAGTTGTACTTGAGACAGTCTTCAGGCTGAGCCCAACTAGTAGCATACCCAAATCGCTCTAGATCTCAGTTATTCTCTATTTCCGATACTTTGTTATAATAATAACGCAGTGAGATACTCCTACTATATGTTTTATTCGCGCGCGATACCCTGACCGTGGTCGCTGACTATCTAATAGAGCATTGATAAGGCCTGAATAAATGAATCAGGGTAATATGTGCGTATTAGACCGGCCGATCATACATCTAATAAGGTACAGGTGACGGTGTTAGAATGGAAATCAACGCTAGGTATTTACGTTCTTGTCCGCAAACCAAAACGAGTTTGTGCCGGGCTTACCGCAGCAGCCCTGTAAGTAGGTAACTCTCCAAATTGTCAGAAAATCTCCACAGCTCCAAGGGGCATCTCGGACCGATCAAGGTCAGTCGATGAGGCTGAGCATGCTTCACGCTAAGCGTGCTTGCTAGCCAGAGCCTCCAGGACCTCGCAGGCCCGATCGGCGCCACTGAGGACCCTCAACCGCTCTCTCATTTGTTGCGCATCTTTCTTATAGCTCTCCTCTCCTAAGACTTTATCCACCGCAACTCTAATCTGGGCGGAAGATGGCCTATCTGTGGCAAGGTTGACCCCGGCTCCGACCCAGCTCACCCGCGCAGCAGTGTCCGGTTCATCTGCCTCTCGGCCGGCGCATACTAGGGGCACCCCATGCGATAGAGCTTGTGTGACTCCGCCGTATCCTCCATTGGTCAATAGTACTTTCGCGTGTCGAAGGAGTGTATCGTAAGGGAGCCACTCTATCAGGTAGACATGAGGGGGTAATACTGGAAGCAGCTCTCTTATTTCTTGAATTTTCTTCGTGAGCACAATCACTAAGACTCCCTCTTTGTCAGTTAACGCCTGAATTGTAGGGATAATGAGTTCAGATGGATCAGTTTTCAGCGTGCCTTGGGTGACGCCGATGAGGCAGTCATGTCTGATCACCTCTCCCCACCATTCAGGCAGTGGGGACTCTTTCGTTGACGGAGCGACCAGAGGTCCGACGTAGTGCGTATTGGGACTCGGTAGATTGGGCTTGAGGGAAGTCGAATATTCGAGCTCGGGGCATGACGCCTGGATGTGGGCGAATTTGCTGTATGGGAAGTATTCTGAAACCTTTCCACCCGTCAGAGGCGGCAGCCCGAGCTCCAATCGTGCCCTGTTAAAGACAAATCCTCCCGATAGAGGGATAAGTACCCATGCCTTCACTTGGTGTACAAGCCAGTTGCGCAGGAGACCCAGCCATGAGGTTGGTGGATGCCTTCCCGACCCAAACGGAGGAAGCCGTGCGGAATCTGCATAGATTGGCCAAAGTCCCACGGTTGCATAAGTGGGGATTTCTCCGAGCTCATAGAGCGCTTGGGCATATGGTGATTTGCAGTCTACCACTAGACAATGTGCGGGAAAGTCTGCAAGTACTTGGCGGTAGTCGGCGATGTGGGGAGCAAGCGCACGCAGAAGATCAGTGACTGGTCTTTGAACAGGCAATGCGGAGGCGGGCATCCCGCGGTCCAACTCTGTTATGAATGCCTCGACTTCGCGGGAGAGAGCGAACACGGCCCCGGTAGATCGAACGAGCGTTTCGTTGTCGGCGCTCGCGAGCCACACTACCTCGTGCCCGCGGCCCACCAAAGCTTTGGCAACAGCTTGCATGGGCAAGACATGACCTGGGCTCCAGTAGCAATCAATAAGAAATTTGAGGCGAGTACTCGAACCATTCGACATCCTTTCTTCGAAAAATTTAGAGATGTAAACGAGGAAAGGTGAGGGAGTAGTTGCGGGTATATGGACAGATCGATGCTGAAGATGCTAACTGTAGAAGAGAGAAGATCAAGGTAGCAGAGAAGGCCAGGCGTATGTAAATAAGAATGGAGAAGAAAGTTGACCACGATACATTTAATAATACTGTTGCGGTCCCGTGTCTCAACTCTTCGACCAATGTTGCTGATTGCCCCTATCCGCATGAAGATACCTAGTGACGCTCCCGGAGGTCTTCGAGTAACCTAGGGAAAGAAAGTGCTAATGAAACCGTATTTTATCAAAATCATTGGATCAATATTGCTGATCCTCCTCGGTCGTGTATGGGTTTCATCACTCGCCTCGGCTACCGCTATCTCTTTTTGTTGAGGGGGTTGAGAATCTGAAACAGGTATTTTGTTTACATTAGACATCTCCTACCTAGTTGCTCCAAGTCGAGACCGATTGAACCATGGTCTCAAACCTTTGACCCGTAAGTTCACGATCGAGACCAATTAGATCGGCTCAATTCAACTTGTTTCTACGGTTTCTTTTAATCATCTACTCGATAAACCGGATCGACTCTATCCGCATGCACATGTTCTGCGTACTAAAAACATTCGCGTTCCAGGCTTCCCTGACAATGGCGATTGTCTGGGCAGCCTTGCTGCTGTCGGTGTAGGAGTTGTAACCCCAGGCCAAACCTTTGATCGAATCTGCGGCTTAAGACATATTCTCAAGCTGTCTAGAGCGATATCTAAACCCGGAGCGCGATATATTGTGTGGAATGGTCACAATTTAGTGTTACCCGAATCGGGAGCTGGGGAGAGCGGACGAAATCGCGCCCGTGTGGGTCGTTCATGTCCGCAGACTAGCAATGAATAGATGTTCACCCCTCGCGTGCCATATATGCACTCCTCGATTCTGACCCAAACCACTCTGAAAAAAAAACCACCATCTTAATCGGTTTCCTCAGCAACAGTAACTTGAACATAGTAGTTATATTCCCTGGCCAAAGAATTAGGCGAGAGTGGGGGTGGCGGTCCGAGGTCGATTCGGGACACAGGCACCGGGAAGATGACTGTCGTTAAAGCCATCTTGACGAAGCGAATCAAGTGCTCCGGATGTGTCGGACGTGGAAAGAGGTCAGGAAAACACGCTCTCCTTCTCCAGAGGCGTATGCAAGGATTGCCTCACTACATGAGACGACAGCCTCATCAAAAGCTGTAACGACTTCTTTTCGTGTTGCGGAGTTGCTGATTTCATTAGCCAGTAAGAGTTCAAGATCATGGAGATTCTAATTAGATCATAGAGTTCGACATCCTATCCCAGACGGGCAAAGGAGGGTCGTCTGATAGAGAGGACATGGCTGGAAATGGGATCTTGCTGCTGGCCAAATGGCATAGTATCCCGTGGCTTTGTTGATCACGGAACTGGGAAGTACTCTTTATTAATACCAGTCATTGGTAAACAAAATTCGAAAAAGCAACATGATCTCCGACGTTCTCTCCCTTAAAAGGATGTAAGGGCAAGGTGCTTCCTAACAACTTAACGAGGCTCTGAAGGTTAGCAAGAGAGCGCACAATGCAACATTAGTGCTTGACCTGTACAATGCTACCGCTGCGCATAGCCTGGGCGGGTCAAACAATGCGACTTGTCGAGCGACGAGCAGTACATGGTCGAATAGAGATGTTCTGTGGCGCTCTCTAATGCATAATGCTGAGGCTGTGACCTCCCATGACCGAACCTAAGAGGCAACCACATTGGGAGATTGGGGCTGTGCTTGTGATAGTGCTAGTGCCTGCGCCAGGTATGAAAGAAAGCTAATGCGGGTGAGCCCCGCACCAGTCTACATACCCTTGGTGGTGTCGTGAGGGCCGGAGCAAATCTCGCTATATGGCTCTATTTTCTTGGTTGATCATGCGAGAGGGCTTTTTCGGAAAGTTCAATTCTCTTTGCAGGTAAATAGGTCATGAGAGTGAATAAGGTATACGTTAACATCGTGAAGCAGGAAAAGCATGTCCTACCGACAATCATCACCACTTTCTTCGTATCCAATCTCTCCGGACTCCAAGCCAGCAATCTCATGAAGTGCCGGACAACCCCCTGTATCACAGAACATATTTAATAATATTGTAAACGTTATAAGCCCACGGTCCTCATCCGTTTGGGGCTCAATATGAGGCTGATCTAGGGCCTCTGGCCCCGCCTCTTCCTCATCCTCAGCTAGTCCAATACTCCCCCGCAATCGCTTCCGTTGCAATAACCAGGCCCACCAAAAACAGAATTGTCAATCTTTTGTGATCTCAGTTGAAGTCTTGGGAGAATCTGGCTTCGACGCATCCTCAGGAGTAGGCTCTTCGCAGTCTGAATCGTCTGAGACGTTGTCATCAATGTCCCATCGTTGTTGGCCTGGCCTCTGCCAGTATGCTCTTTTGAACTG